TTGTTTTGTGTCCTATCATGTAGTCTATCTTTCAAAATATTCCTGTGCATTTGAAAAGAATGTGTATTTAGCTTCTTTGGGATGAAGGGCTCTATATATATATCAGTTAAGTCCATTTCATCTAAGGCGTTGCTCAATGCCTCAATATCTGTTCATATTTTATTTGGAAGATCTGTCCATTTTTCACAGTGGGTTGTTAAAATCCCCTACTATAATTGTATTGCTCTCAATATCTTTCTTAAAGTCCTCTAAGCGTTTCTTTATATATTTGGGTGCTCCTAGTTTGGGTGCATATATATTTATGATGTTAATGTCTTCTTGGTGGATTCTTCCCCTGAGTATTAAGACATGACTTTCTGGGTCTCTCTTTATCATCCTTTTGTGTGTGTGTGTGTGTGTGTGTGTGTGTGTGTGTGTGTGAAGTCCATTTTGTCTGATATGCGTATTGCTATCTCAGCTTTTTTTTCCTGTCCGTTTGCTTGGAAAATTTATTGGCAGTCCTTCACCTTTAGTCTGTGATGGTCTTTTGTCCTGAGGTGGGTCTGTTGTAGGCAGCATATATGTGGGTCATGGTTTCTTATCCATTCTTTATTGTATGTCTTTTGATTGGAACATTTAATCCATTTACATTTAAGGTTTTTTTTGATAGGTATTTATTCATTACCATTTTTGTACCTGTGTTCCTCTCTGTGTCTCTCTTTTCCTTCCTTTCCTTAGAGCAGTTTTTTTAGTATTTCTTGCAGAGCTGGTTTGGTGGAGGTATATTCTTTTAGACTTCTTTTGCCTTGGAAGCTCTTTTTTGGCCTTGTGTCTTGATTGAAAGCCTTGCTGGGTAAAGTAACTTTGGTTGTAGGCCTCTGTTTCTCATTACTTGGAATATTTCTTGCCATTCTCTTCTTGCTTGGAGTGCTTCCATTGAGAAGTCAGTAGCTACCCTTATTGGGGCTCCCTTGTATGTTACTTCTTTTTTCTCCCTTGCTGCCTTTAAGATTCTCTCTTTGTTTTGGAATTTTGCCATTTTGATGATGATGTGTCTTGAAGTGGCCTCCTTGGGTTCCTCTTGATTGGGACTCTGTGTGAATCCTGGATTTGCGTGACTTTTTCTCTCATCAAATTAGGGAAGTTTTCCATCATTACTTTTTTAAAAAGGTTTTCTATCCCTCGTTCTTCTTCTTCTCCTTCTGGTATCCCTCTTATTTGGGTATTATTACGTTTCATATTGTCTTGCATTTCTCTTAATCCCTCTTCATTCTTTCTGAGCCCCTTTTTCTCTCCTTGGTCTCTCTGGGTGTTTTTTTCTACTTTGTCTTCTAACTTGCTGATCCGATTTTCTACTGCTTCATCGAGCCTGCTTTTGATTCCTCTATTGTGTTCTTCAGTTCAGAAATTGTATACTTAATTTTCTCTTGTCCCTTGCTGATAGTTTCTATTTTCTTTTTCTTGTTGATATAGTTTGCAGTAAGTTTATTGTAGCTCCCCTGTAGTTTCTAGTAGCTCATTGTTAGCTCTTTGAACTTCCTGATAACCAGTGCTTTGACTTCAATATCTGATAGCTAACTTGCTTCTATTTCATCTCACATTATTTCTGAAGCTTCCTCCTTTTGTTTCATTTGAGGTTTGTTTCTTTGCCTTTCCATTGTTTGTGAGACTCTTCTTGTTAGTTTCAGCTTTTTAAATTGATTTGTTCTGGCTTCCTGGGTTTATGGTGTGAACTTCTGTAGTATAATACCTGTGAGATTCAGTGGTATATTCTCCTTGATCTCCCAAGCTCAGTGGCCTTGGGCTGTCCTTTACATTTACCTTGTGTTTCTCTTTGGGGTTTGATTATTCTGGGGTTTTTCTTTTGTGGGTCCTTCTCACCAGCTGGTTAGCTGATGGGCTCTTTGTCCACCACCTGTTTTAATTTGTTGTACTGGTAAGTTCAAGCTGTGTTCAACCTACTATTTCTGTGTGTACAAGGTTTTGAGTATTCTCTTTTGGTCTTATTTGGTTGTTTATACTTTGTAGTTTCTCCACTATTTAGCTGTATTTCCAGATAGGTCTTGGGTTGAGGTTTGTGGGGTTTCCACTCCCTCCTATCTGTTGGTGGTTCCTTTGTTGTTGGGTTTCCTCTTCCAGGGGGTATCATGGTGTTTACCACTTCCGCCTACTCTTTTTTTGTGGTCAGTTGGAGCGGAAAGCAAAGTGGTTTATGACAGCAGGAAGGTATTCTATGGTATTCACAATAGCAGCTGGTAGAGAAGAGATAAAAGATCTTTAGGCTATGTATAGTGTTAACTGTAATCTTCAACTCACCTATCCGCTTTTAAGAAAGGACGGACAGAAGATAAGACTCTTGTTAGGGAGGAAAGGCTTGTGAGTTGGATCTAGAAAGCAGTGAGGTTGTGGGAGGTCAGATTCTGAGGTAAGGTGAGAGTAAAGTATAGTAAATAGGTGTAGTGTGTGAGAGAGTAGAGTTAACCACTACAGTAATAGAGTTCAGGAAACTGTGAAGTGGACTAAGATGTGGGAGGGTGTTGTGAAGTATTTACAATAGTATATTACAGCTATTATTTACAATAATATTAGAGCAACAATCATATGACAGAGTCTATGTGATCTGGATAACATGAGTAGGGGGTATAGAACTTTGAGTAGTGTCCTAAAGGGACACAAGTGACATGAAGGACAGTAAATTAGCACACTGTGGAAAAGAGATCAGGGGAAACCTGTGAAATGATACAATATAACCGGCCACAGCGTAGAAGACTATACAGAAAAAAGAGGAATACAAAGAGACTATTAAAATAAAAGATAAAAGAATAATGAAGAAATAATAATACAAATATTCAGCAACTTGTAGTTTCTCTGCTATAGCAAAGTGAAATATGTCTCTCTATCTCTACTGTTGGTATGTCCCATCTTTGGGTCCCACTCTGGTCTTTTTGCAGGTCCAAGTTTTTTGTTTCACTTGTGGGAAGAAAAAAAGCAGGAGAAGGGAGGAAGAAGAGATAAGTTTGGAAAGAAATGAAGAAGGAATAAAGCAAGGAAGAAGGAAAGAGAGGAAAATGGTATTGAAAGATGAAACAGTCATAAAATTAAAGAAATAAAAGATTACTTAAAAGAAAATCTTTTGTTGGTTTCAAACTGGCCAAACTGATTTTTCTTATTTTGCTGGCTGCAGCAGACTGCGGGGCAATTGATGTGGCCTTTCCGAATGTGTATTCAGCCAGTCCTGTGAGCACTTGCCCAGGAGCTAGTGTGGCACCACTCCCCAGCGCCCCGTGCAGGGGTTTCATGTCCTCTTCAGAGCACTCTTTCCCCTGGGGTCATTGCCATGTGCTGGGGTGCAGGCATGCGGCATGCAGCCAGGCTGCCTGGGACCAGTGGGTTCGGGCATGAACCCTTCCTAGTGCTATGGGGCAACACAAGGCCTTCTGCCCAATCTTGGGATTGCTGCTAGGCTGGGTGGGGAGTAGGCCAAGGGATTCTCACAGGAGAATCCTTTAAACAGTTTGCTTTTTGTCAAATTCCCCCTACTCAAGCTTGCTGCTCTGTACAGCCTAATTCTCCAGCCAGACCAGTCACTGTCAGAATCAGAGCTCGATATTGTGACTCTCAATTTTCCCAAGCCAGCGACCACAGACTCTCTGGGTGATCATGGCCCTTGTGTTTGCCTTTTTGACCTTACTCCCCTCTCTGCAATCTGAAGCCACCAGGTTTATGCTGGTATTGCCAAAACCCTGCTTGGCTGGGGAGGGTGGAGCTGATGACCCAGCTCTCTCCCAAGGACCCTGTGGCAGGCCCAAGGCTCCCAAAGAGTCCATGGTAGACCCGGTGCCGGGCACAGGGCAGGGTGAGGGCAGAGGCTGCTGCCACCCCTGTCTCCCCAGTGGTCCCTGGGACCCTACTGTCCTGTAGCCTTCTCCTTAATGTCTGGTTTTTCAGTGTCCTCTATAATTTTTGGTCTCCTATCTTCATATATGCTGGGGTACTGTTGGCTGTTTGCTCTGTTCCTCCATAGATTGGCAAAGTTTTTCTCCCATGTATAGGGGGAAGTGGAATCTGCTCCCTCCTACTCTGTCACCATCTTCCCCTCCAATCTAAGTTAAAAAATTCTTACTCTGCTCACCTATGGGCATTGTGATAAGGACAGAAATTTGATAATGAATGTCAACATAGTGTCCAGCACAAATAATGCCCCTTTTTAAGTATAGAATCTGTTATTACAAAATCATAAGCATGAATTCTGTAACATAACAAAATCACACTCAAGCATACCACATGACAATTTAGGTGAAATATTTCAATTTAAACTGTAAATTATTACACCCATATTATTACCCTACCAACCACACTCAAGCAGGTGTTACTTCTGCTGGACACTGTATATCATAAATGTGCTATAGTTTATTATTAACATCACATCACTGCAACCATTTTTGGATGCGTAACATATGCTGTGTACTCTTGTAAATTCAGTCCTTTCTCTCTCTCTTCCCCCTTCACCCTCTCCCCGTCCCTCCCTTGACACTCATCACACAATCCAAAAGGAGTACTTATTATTACCCTCCCATTATAGATGAAGAAACTAATATATTATTTTCTATTTCTGATGTAACAAACTACTAAATATCTAGCAGTTTAGGTCAGCACACATTTTTAATCTCACTGTTCCTGTAAGTCAAATGTTTGTTTGACTGAGCTGGGTCTTCTGCTTAGGGGAACCTCACAAGGCTGAAGAAAATGCCAGGGCTGAATTTCTCTTTTGGGAGTTCTGAGGATGAATCTGCTTCCAAGCTTACTTAGATTACTGACCACTTTCAGCTCCATGGAGGTACCCATTTCCTTGCTGGCTGTTGGCTAGAAGTTTTTCTCAGCTTCTAGAGACTACTTACATTCCCTGCTCATGGTTTCCTTCATCATCAAAGTCAGCAATAGAGGACTGAGTTGCTTCAATGCTTTTAATCTCACCTGCATCTCTCTGATTTCCTCTTCTCTTTACCTCTTCTTCATTTAAGGCCCGTTGTGATTACACCGGACTCATTTAGATATCGTAGGATGATCTCTCTATTTTAAGGTAAGTTGATTTTTAACTAGTTCAATTGGCAAAGTCTCTTTGACCATGTAGTGTTAACATATACACAGTAATGATATCAGGGGTAAAGATCATGGGGGCAAAAAACTTGCTACCTTACTAAAAGAGACATTTTATTTAATTTTAATGTCTATATTATTTTCAATTTACTTATTTATTTTTAAAGTTTATTTTAAATTATACTAAACATAGAATATTCTATTAGTTTCAGGTATACAATATAGTGATTAGACATTATATAACTTATGGATTGAGCACCACAATAAGTTTAGTACCAATCTATCACTGTACATAGTAGGATATTATTGGCTATATTCCCTATGCTGTACATTATATTCCTATGACTTATTTTATCTGTCAGTTTGTATTTCTAAATCCCCTCTACTTTTGTCACTTATTCCTCACCACCCATTCTATCTGGCAACAATCAGTTTGTTCTTTATATCTATGAGTTTTTTCTGTTTTGTTATTCGTACATTTGTTTTGTTTTTCAGATTCTACATGAAAGTGAAATCACATGATATTTGTCTTTCTCTGTCTGATTTATTTCACTTATAATACCCTATAGGTGTGTCCATGTTGTTCCAAATGGCAAGATTTTTCAAGATTCCATTGTATATATATTCACATATTTTTAATCTATCTATTGATGGACAGCTAGGGTGCCTCCATATTTTACTATTGTAAATAATGCTACAGTGAACATACAGGTATATGTATCTTTTCAAATTAGTGTTTTTTATTTCTTCAGATAAACACCCAGAAGAAGGATTACTGGGTCATACAGTAGTTCTATTTTTATTTTTTTGAGGAATCTCAGTACTGTCTTCCATAGAGACTGTATCAGTTTACAATACCACCAGCAGTGCATGAAGGTTGCCTTTTTCCCATATCCTTACCAATATTTAATCTGTGGTGTACTTGTGATAGTCATTCTGACAGGTATGTGGTGGTATCTGATTATGGTTTTAATTTGCATTTACCTTGTGATTAGAGATGTTGAGCATCTTTTCATGGGTCTGATGGCCATCTGTGTATCTTCACTGAAAAAATATCCAGGTCCTCCACCCACTTCTTAATTGAATTTTTTATGTTGAATTGTATTGTATATTAACCTGTTATCAGATATATTATTTGCAAATATCTTCTACCATTCAGTAGATGGTAATTTTGTTTATTTGGCAGTGCAAAAGTTGTTGTTGTTGTTGTTGTTGTTGTTGTTTTAGTTTACTGTGGTCCTGTTTTTTTTCTCAATAATTTTATTTAGTTATTTTTCAAGTACAGTTTTTTGCCTGTTTCTCCCATCCCAGCCCCCCACCCCATGCTCCCCACCTCCCTCCCATTTCCACCCCCCCAGTTCTCATTCCTGTGTCCTTTATATTTGCTTCTCCAAATCCCTCCCCTTTTTTCCCCTTAAATTCCCTTCCCTCTCCCCTCTGTGGTCCTGTTTTCTAATTTTTGCTTTTGTTGCCTTTGCCCTGAGAGATATATCCAAAACATATTGCTAAGACAGATGCAAAGACTTTGCTTCCTATGTTTTCTTCTAGGATGTTACATGTCTTACACTGTAGTTTGTAATACATTTTGAGTTTATTTTTGTATATAGTGTAAGAAAATGGTTCAGCTTTATTCTTTTGCATTTCTCTGTCCAGTTCTTCCAACATTATTTATTGAAGAGATGGACCTTATCCTTTTGTATATCATTGTTTACTTTGTCATAGATAATGTAAGAGTGGACTTATTTCTGGGCTTTCTTTTTCTTTTTTTTTATGCCATTTGAAGTTTTATTTTTATTTTTTAAATGTTTTTTATTTAATTATTTTTCAAGTACAGTATTCTGTCTTTTACTCCCATCCCAGCCCACCCCCCTCTGTCCCACTGATCTAGGTTTCTGTCTTTGGATCAGTGACATACTGTTTTGATTACTATAGTTTTGCAGTGTAATTTGAAATCCAGAAATGTGATATTTACAACTTGTTGTTCTTTCTCAAGATTGCTTTGGATATCCAGAGTCTTTTTGTGGTTCAGTATAAATTTTAGAATTATTAGTTCTAGTTCTATGAAAAGTGTCATTAATACTTTATTAGGGATTGCATTGACTCTGTAGATTGCATTGAATAGTATGCACTGTTTAATGGTATTAATTCTTCCAATCCATGAACATGGTATATTTCATTTTCTACAGCTTCTTCAATTTTTCATCAATGTCTTGTCATTTTCAGAGTGCAGATCTTTTATTTTCTTCATTGATTTTATTTCTAGATACTTGCTATCTTAAGTTCTCTTTCTTATATTTTGTTGTTAGTGTATAGAAACAAAACAGATTTCTGCATATTAACTTTGTATTCTACAACTTTACAAATTCATTTATTATAATAGTTTATTTTGTGGAACATTTAAGGTTTTGTATATATAGTATTGTCACCTGCAAATAGTGACAGGTTTACTTTTAGTTTTCCAATTTGGAATAATTTTTTTCTTTTTCTTGTCTGATTGCTGTGGCTAGGACATTTAATACTATGTTGAATATAAGTGGTAAGAGTGGGCATCTTTATTTTGCTCCTGATCTTAGAGAAAAAAACTTTCAGGTTTTGACCACTGAGTATGATGTTATATGTGGGGTTGTCACCTTTTTACCTACTTTGTTGAAAGTTTTTTTTATCATAAATGGATAGTGCATTTTGTTAAAGTGTTTTTCTGCATCTATTGAAATGATCATATGATTTTTGTTCTTCATTTTGTTTATGTGGAATATCATGTTGATTGATTTCCAGTTATTGAACTATCCTTGGAATAAATATCACTTGATTATGTTGTATGGCCTTTTTAATGTATTTCTGAATTTAGTTTGCTAATATTTTGTCAAGGATTTTTACATCTATGTTCATCAGGGATATTGGCCTATGATTTCCTTTTCTAAATACTGTCTTTATCTGGTATGGGTATTAAGGTAATAAGGGCCTCATAGAAGGAGTTTATAAGCTTTCCCTCTTCTTCATGTTTTTGGAATAGTTTGAAAAGATTGGCAGTGATTCCTTTATAAATTTTTGATAGAATTTAAGTGTGAATCTAGCTGATCTTGGACTTTTATTTGTTGGGTGTTTTTTGATTACTCATTCAAAGTTGTCACTAGTAATCTGTCTCTTTCTTCCTGATTCAGACTTGGAAGATTATATATTTCTAGTAATTTATCTGTTTCTTCTAGGTTGTCCAATTTGTTGGTGTATAATTGTTCATAGCAATCTCATAAACCCTTGTGTTCCTGTAGTTTTAGATGTCACTTCTCTTTCAGTTTTGATTGTGGACTATCATTATGTAATTCCCTTCTTTGTTTCTTATTATAGTTTTTGTTCTGAAGTCTGTATTGTTTGATACAAGTATTGCTACCTCACCTTCATTTTTGTTTTCATTTACATAGTGTCTTTTTCTGTGTCTTCACTTTCAGTCTGCATGTGTCTTTTGATCTGAAGCGAGTCTTTATAGGGAGAATATGCACAAATGTTGATTTTATTTATTTGTGCCTTCTCTCTTTTCATTTTTTTGATGAGTCAGTCTAATGGTTTATTGATTTTGTTTATCTTTTTAAAGAACCATCTGAGTTTTATTGATCTTTAGAATTTTTTTAGTGTCTTATTTATTTATACTCTGGGCATCATTTATTTTTACATTGTGTGTGTGCACACGTTCATCTCTTTTTAAAAGTTTTTTTTTATTTCTTTATCTTTAGAAGGGAATGTAAAGAGAGAAGGAGAGAATAATATCAATGTATGGTTGCTTCTGGTGCATCCCCTGCTGGGAACTGTCCCCTGCTGGAAACTGGCCTGCAACCCAGGCATGTACCCTGATGGGGAATCGAACCGCGATCTTTTGGTTCGCAGGCTCATGCTCAATCCACTGAGCCACACCAGCCAGGGCTACATGTTCATCTCTTAATTAATTATTGTAGTTACACATGATCTTACTACTTTTGTCTTTTAACTTTAATACTAGCATTGAAGTGTTTGATCCACTATTTTTACTTCATGTTTGCCTTATCAGTGATATTTTTTCTTTCCTACATTTTCTTATTTTTAGTTTTGGCCTTTGCTTTTCTGCTTAAAGAAATCCTTTTGTATGATTGTTTAACAACTATTCTATATACCTAAAACCAATACAGAATTATATTAAATATAAACTATATTAGAAAATAATTATTTATTATTTAATTTATAAAATTTAAAAAATGTTGTGCCAGGTTAGTGAATATGAGCTCTTAGTTTTGCTATGAAACTTTTCATTTGTCCTTTAATTCTTTTTATGGATTTCCTTGGGGTGATGTTAGTTAATAAAATTAGGTTTCAGGCATACACTCCTATAATACATCATCTGTATATTTTTGTGTGTGTCCACCACACAAAGTCCAGTCTCATTGTGTCATCATTTATTCCCCCTTTACCCTCTTCTACCTCCTTTGATCTCCTTTTGCCTCTGGTAATCACCATGCAGTTGTCTGTTCCTATGAGGGTTTTTTTTTTTTTGCTTTTGCTTAATCACTTCGCTTTTTTCACCCAGACCCCTAAACCCCCTCCTTTCTGACAGCTGTCAGTCTATCTATGAGTCTCTTTCTATTTTGTTTGTTAGTTTAGTTTGTTCATTAGATTCCACATGTAAATGAAATCATATGGTGCTTGCCTTTCTCTGACTGGGTTAGTTCACTTAGCATAATACTCTCCACCTCCATCCATGCTATTGTAAAGGGTAAGATTTCCTTCTTTTTTATGGCTGAGCAGTATCACTACTTTTGTACCCACTCATCTACTGATGAATACTTGGGTTTTTCTCTTAGCTTGAGTATCGTAAACAATGCTGTAATGAATATAGGGGTGCACATATTCTTTTGGATTAGTGTTTCAGGTTTATCTGGATATATCCCCAGAAAGGCAGTTCTCTTTTTAATTTTTGAGGTAACTCAAAAATACTGCTTTCCACAATGTCTGCACCAT